TTACAGACAGTTGCCAGACTGGGGGTGAAAGTATCTCTATTCACTGTGCACAGATGACTTTGATAGAAGTATAACAAAAGCCAAACTGCAAGATGCAAATCTCTCATCAGCACTAAAAACAGAAAATCCAGATTAGAATTTGCAGAGAAGTACAAAGAAGAGATGCAACAGTTTTGGAATGGTGTTTTATAGACAGATAACACAAAGATAAACTTTATCAAAGTGACAGAAAGGAACATGGAGAAAAGAGAGAAAGTGAGGAACTACAAATGATCCTAAGCACACCACCTCATCTGTGAAGCATGGTGGAGGTAGTGTGATTGCTTGGGTGTGCATGGCTGCCTCTGGAACTGGCTCACTGATCTTTACTGGTGATGTAACTGATGATGCCTGCAGCAGAGTGAATTCTGAAGAGTAAAGAAACATCTCGTCTGCCCGAAAAAAATCCTCCAAACCAATTGGGTGTCATTTCACCCTGCAGCAAAACAGTGGTTCAAAATGTACTGCACACCTAACCATGGAATTCATCAGGCAAAACAAGTGAAAATCTTTAATCTGACCAAGTCAATATGTTGATTTAAAATATGTTCAGTATGCATTTTACTTGTTGAAAAAAAGACTAAGGTAGGAAACCTGTTATGTCACAATCAAGTAAAGACTGAAAATGTCTGCAGATAAGGTTTGGCAAAGCATCTCAAAGGAACATGTCAAGAATCTGGTTGTTGGATATAGACTTGAAACGAATACTGTGACCAAATACTAAATGTACTCTAATTTAGTTACTTTAATTTGTCCCAATACTTTTGCTGACCTGAAATTTTGGAGGAATGAACACAAACATATTTTTGGTTGAACATGCATGCATAAAATATCCTGAAATAGAAGCTGGCCATTCTATACTTTTGCCTCATCTTTTGTCCCAAAAAGTTCAATAGCACTGCAAAAATGACTAATTTCACTTCACTTCCCCATTTCACTGTAGGCATATATTGACATTAATAAATTAGTCATCTTGACACATTATTTATTTCTTCTAGATAATTTGGGGCTGCTGCTCTGGAATCAGTTCAGAGAAGTGCAACCATATACATTTTGGGGATTAAAGGGAATGTTTTAGGATGAATAGACATAAGTTCCTAATCTAGAATAGAGAAGGTTATGATGGAGCCTGATACTTTTTTAAAATCTTCAAAAGCAGTGACAAAGTCAACCCAATGAACATCTTTTGATAGTGCCTTTAAAACTTAGAACAGGAGGCACGTCTTTACCCAAAGGGTTGTGGGGGTATGGAACAAGCTTCCTAGCCATGTTGAAGCCTACACCTTGGCTTCTTTCAGGAACAGCTGGGTGAGAGCTTTTGATAACTTATCTACCAAATATTAAATGAGCTAGAAGAACTGAATGGTATTCTCTCATTTTATGATTTTTGAAATGATTGGTTTGAACAAAGGTTTATTGAATAATGTTTTTGTTCTAATATAGTCAATTGTATGCATGTTAATATAAAAAAAATATCCAATTAATAAGTACAACATTGTACTCATTAATTTTATGATCAAAAATACCAATGTTTTGAGTGTAAAAGCAAAAGTATGTTTAAAATTTACTGTTCCAGTATTTTTGGAGAGCACTGTATTTTTTATGATTTGGGTTTTTAGTAATAGTAAAAATTTAGCTTTCAATAGTGGATGTAAATGTGGTTGTGGCCTGAATTCTTGCACAAGAGATTAATTTAAAAATCATTGTGATGTTATGTACCAGTTTCAGGTGATTGAAAGTTGATTCTGAGCAGTGACATACAACCTCTTTGGATGGTTTCTCTTTCAGCGAGATAATCAAGGGTGCTGAATGAGAAACTTCCACACAGGTGAAAGAAAAAGAAAATAACACTAGCTGTATTAGAAATATTTGACATCTAAGTTAAGTGTGATATAACATTATAGATTGAAAGATCAAATCTTGTATGTGCAGTGCTGAAAGTGAAACCATGGAAAAAAGGAAACAGGCCTTTTCCTATACTTTCGTCCAAGGCAATAACTAACTGTGGAGCATACCAGTTTTCTAGGTTCACCTCTCCTGTTCGTTCTCTATACAATTGATTGTGTTGCCGGTGGTCAAAACCAATTCAGTTATTCTGATGATTGTACCTCTCTTACTCTGATGAATGATAATGATCCAAATCTATATTAGAAGGTTGTAGACCGTTTGGTTGCATGGTGTGACCAGAATGTCTTGATTTTAAGTATAGAAAAAAGGAAGAAAATGTCTTGCTCTAATAAAGTACAGGAGCAAATTTACTTTTTTTCACAGATTATGGGTTTCTGGACAAGTAGTCAGATTCGGTCCATGTTTTGCAGTACTGCAGTACAAAGTTTCACAGCATGGAATTGCCGTCTGGCATACCAGTCTCTCTATGCAACAAAAAGCCAAAGTGTCCAGATTCTTGGGGATGTGTTTTAAGTTAGTGAGGCAGCATCTTAAACACAGCTTTCAAACTGCTTACATTTAAGAATATGCTGAGACTAGCTGTTAGTATCTCCTCTGACACCCCACCTGATCTGCATGAAGAATACCATTGAGACCTTCAAACAGACATTTTAATGTCCGTCAAGGCAGACTTGACAAAATGAGCAATTTCTTCATTACTGCTCAGTCAATAAATGAGTTCACAATAAAGGAGTATTGGTTTATGAGCAAGTACAAACATTGATTTAAGTGCAATAATGAAGGGGTAATGTGCAATTACAGGAGCTTAGGGGGATTATTGGGGAGTAAATTTACAGGTTCTGGTATAATTGTGTGGATTTCTGTAAGAGTGGTATGTAAGAACTATGTATAGGTTGATGTCTTTTATATAATGTTTTTGTAAGCCTCGCTGTGTGTAAAACATAGCAGCTTGAATGTAGAACTAATTTCTGAGAAATTGTATCTGTCATATCAAAACAATTTTTAAATGGACCATTTGTTCTGCTGCAATAGTAGTTTTTTACAACAGATGGCAGTAGACCAACATAGTCTCAGTTCTTGCAGTCGCATGCGACCAAAAAAAGAGGATATCCATCATATTCTTTGTTTTGTATTCTAAAAGGGAGAACATGGTGCATGTGTAAATTGGTTGAGACATGGTTTGGTGTTGGCTCTAATTGGAAGTATACAGAACTGTTGTACTGTGTTCATAATACAATTTTCATTTTTTAAACATGATTTTGTTACATTGTGAGAGTATTATAGTCTGATTTGTAGTAGCGATGAGCCAAGTTGGAAAGGAGTTTACTTTAAATGTATAACTTGTTGAACTTAAGAAGTGAAGGATGTACAAACTTTATTACTTGAAGTGTTGTGTAGAGAAACAAACCACTAATTTGAGAGTCTTGAGAATGGAAGCTTTGAAAGAGGTCTATAGAAAACTATTCAAGTCACTAATTGTTTTGTCAGCAGCTGTAAAAAGGGTCATGTTTAAAAGGCATGTGGTCTTGGAACCTAAAAGGGGAGAGGAGAGCTCAATTTGTGTTTTGAATGGAGGTATGAAACCCGAACCTTGACAACAAGTTGTTAACATAACAGAAAACACACATGTCCATGCAAATCCTCAGGCATTGTTTCATCAGCATGGAGAACAATAGAACAAATGAAATACTACTCCCTTTTTATGATGGTAAATGTCAGTTTACTGCTGCAGTGGCAAGCTCAGATGCTAACATGTCCCCTGTCCAGACTTTTGGAATGGCGTGGTTTAAAGCACCAGACCAGGCTTCAGGGCTTTGGTTGTTTATGGTAATAGCACTTCATAGTGCAGAGATTTTTACTGAACCATATGGAAGCCACATGAAAAAATGGCACTTCGCCTGTCTCTGTGTGGGGAGCCATTTGGGCCACTGGACGGTCACAGCTGGTATTCAGTGTTGGAGCAGAAAACTCAGAATTCTCCTAGAGACTCTTCCATCTGGCTGTGCCAGTGATCATGGATCCAGAGAAGTGATTTTTTGGAAAATGGTGGCCCAGCTCACACCACCAATGCGGTGCAAACTTGGGGAAAGAGCCCAGTTTTTAAAACTCTGAAGTGTTCCAATAAGTTACTATACATGAACATATGTGGTTTGCTTTTGATAAAGCCCTATGTAAAATACCCTGGCAAGCCCACATCGTGGGAAACACTCGGTTATTGTGTCAGGAATGTTCCAGATTACTGGTTGTATGTACACATTGAGCCTAAAACAGAGCAGTAGAAAATGTTAAGCATTGTTTTGCAGAGGCAGCAGGTTTCCTTAGGTCTACAGTTCTACAAGTTTTTGTAATACAAAAATCCTGAAACTGATCTATTTCAGTCATGTCTGAAAATGTTTTTAAAGTTTATTTTTGCGTACTTGGTGTGAAATCCAGAAGCAGATGCATACATTCGTGTTTTAGTTTTTCAAGCGACTAATGTGTCGGTTAAATAACAGGACCAAGTAAAGGTTTATTCCACACTGAAAAGAGAAGAAAAGCAACACAGCGTTTTTGGCTGTGGAGCCTTCTTTGGGTGTGTGTGTCCACAGCCTAAACATTGTATTTATTTTCTTCTCTTTTCAGCATGGAATAAACCTTTACTTGTTCCTTTGCAGCCTACGTATGCTCATGCAGCTACCTACTTGAACTACTTCAGTCAAATATCAGACTTGGTAGATTTAAAAACCATTAAAATATTACCAATCAAGAACTGCTTTCCATACATGTTCCTGCAGTGGGAAATGTTCCTGCAGTGGGACATGTGGAAAGCAGAAGCCATTCGGTCCATCTTGCTGTCCCTTACTTCAATCCCCCAGGTGCCCACATGAATAATATGGCTGGTTTTGTTCCAGGACCATAGCTATGAATGTCAAGGAAGCAACCTTACTTTTAGTCTTAAATGTAGTTCCTTTCTTGTGAGATTGTATTTTGTATTTTTAAATTCAGTATCATAAAAGGTTTACAGCTAAAGCAGGGTTCTGTTCTGATCTTTACCTTTGCTTTCCTTTTGACAGTTACACCTTCGATTGATTTCAGAAGAGCCAGTGCTAATGGATTTAGCACGTGAAGTATCTACAAGAATTGAAGAAACATGGACGAACATGCAGATGCTTTTCAACAAGAGCTTGTGCCTGCTGGCGTACATGAAGAGTGCTCTGCTATAAGCTTTCTCACTCATTTTCCATTTTACTGAAGAATATCACAGCTGGATATGTATACGTGACACGTGGAAACTTACCATTACAGTCGTTGGTATTTTGCCAGTCAATATCATATGCTTTTATATCTCATTAAAGTTTAATACATAGCCATAATGGAGTGTTTATTAATTGTGACAGTAATACTCAAAAGTAAATATATAAAGTCCTGCTTCCAAACAGTTTTGCCTGGGGTCACTTCTGAGGATTCCGTTCTTAAACAAAACCTAATCTGTTCGTTTTTCATGAAACCCTAATGATCTGCAGGAAATGTTTTCCAGGTTTTTCTGAACAACCAAGGCATTTTAGTGACAGGTTGTGCAAAAAATATCACATTTGTTTTATGTCCTCCTACATATATCATTTGGTGCGTTTAGTTCTTGATTATTAGACTGAGTGGGAGAGCTGTTAGCAGCTGTAGGAGCCAAGTAGAATGGAGACCACAGCTTCAAACCTTGTTAGCTGGCTTTGAATCACAATAACTTCTCACCTCTGCACTGGGTAAAGCCATTATAAGAAAAGAGAAAGTACTGACTTTTCTTGTAATTGCATCCTGGTTTCAGTGTAGCATAGTAATGAAGCAGCCTCCATACCTTTCTGAGTCAAGCAAGGAAAACAGGAAAAGTGTCCTTTGTGTGCACAGTTTCCGAACATTCTCCTTTCCTCCACTGCACCTGTTTTAATGCAGTTTTAATTTTAATGTTTTCTCTGTAAGACATATTTTTCTTGCATGTTTTCAACAGTACCAACTATTAACAATTCAAAATTATTTTGTATGATTTTATGTCAGTTGTTCTGAAGTTGAACCTGAAGAACACTCTCATAATTATAAATTTAATTAAATTAGTTGAGGTAGGTTAGACATCTCCAGGGAGATGTTATTTTCATGAATCTTGTTTGAAATGTTTAGAATAGTTCCTGTAGTTTTAACTTTCATTGTTAATGAAGCACAGCACTGTTATTGAAACTGAATAGTGGCTGACATCTGCTTTGGTAATGTGCTCAATAGAGGCAAAATAATTGGTTATAGTGCTGTGGTTATCTGCTATCTAGCTAACATAACATTTTCAGAGCAGTACCTGTTGAGATTCTCTATTGGTCTTCATTTTGGGAGAGGTATTGGTTTGTCTTTACAGATCACGCTATATATACTGTAATTCTGTATTAGCACATACTGTAAGGAAGGAGGAGACCATTTGGCCCATTTAGTATGTTAGGTAGTTAGGAGCTAATTTCCAATTAGACCGGAGATCTCATCTAGCCATTTTTAAAAGAATACAGGTCTCCCACATCCCTTTAGGTAAGTGTTAAAGTAATATTGCAAAGAAGTTTCTAATATGCAAAAGAACGCGTACAGGTTTATTCCATGCTGAAAAGAGAAGAAAAGAAACACAATGCTTCAACTGTGGAGCCTTCTTCAGGTTTGGGTTTCGCAAACCTGAACAAGGCTACACAGCTGAAACATTGTGTTTCTTTTCTTCTCTTTTCAGCATGGAATAAACCTTTGCGTGTTGCTCTGTAGCCTATGCAGGCTTACGCAGCTGCCCACTTGAACATGTTTCTAATCTGGTCATTTACAGTGTTATCATCAGCATTTACCTGCCATAGTTTCTCAATGCATATGAGCCAAATGTAGTTTACGTTTTAGTACATGGTTTACATTAAAACAATTGAGTGCAAAAGACTTGAGATCGTGTTAAACTTTTTAAGTTTCTTGTACCCATGTTAAATCACTCTTTTTCTGTGGGAAACCCACAAATAAAATGGGTACAGTTAATAGTATTGTTTAAGCCCAGGCATCTTGATTTTGTCCTATCTGTGGCTTGACAAATTAATATCTTCAAGATAAACCAAAAATGTATGCTTTTCTTTGGGAAAAAAAACCCCATAAACGTACTATAACGCCATGTGAAAATACAAATTGGAACTTATGTGCTGAGATGACGTGGAAGTTGATGCCGTCTTGTACTTGTAAACAGACAACAACCAATATTCTTGTATAGTTTGAATAAGCATGACTGAGTGAACTGCAGCCTGGTCATGATGAGGCTTTCTCCCCTACAAGATGGATACAGCAAAGGAGCTTTTGCAAGACTGGCAATGGGAAGAAGGGATGGATAGGATGCAGTAGTGATCAAGAATGCATCTCCAGAGGCAATAGAGCTACATTTGTTAATGCCTTTGTAGTGTTCTCTCACGAGGCACCAGTTCTGTAGGGTTTGGGCATTTACGGGGACAATTATT